TTATGTGGTGCTGAGGAATCGAACCCAGGGCCTCATGCATGTAAGGCAAGCGCTCTACCACTGACCCACCTTCCCAGCCCATGAGATACTTTTTTAAAGCCTTCAAAAAGACCAACACAAAAGTGACAGCTCTATTTTTAGTATCAACATTTCTTTAAACAATAAAAGCAATGGGAGTTAAACAGTGCCAGTGAAATGTGGAATATTGAGTATATTTAAAACTTTAATAACTTTTTTTTTCTTAGTCTGAAAAACAAAGTGAAAATTGGTATTCTAAAATATTGTTTCCAGAACATCATTCCACATTTGCTTCATAGACATTCTGTTTTAACAGGCTGCATGTCTGCAAGTAATTAAAACAAAAGCTTTCTTTGTATTTGAAGAGAAATTTATTTCCATAATAAATATCTGGAAAGCCAGTGTGGCTTTGAAAACTTAATTTTATTAATAATTTTATCCTTTAAAGTAAAAAATTGCCAAGCACCAGTGGCTCATACTTGTATTACTAGCTACTCAGAGGCTGAGCTCTGAGGACTGTGCTTCAAAGTAAGCCTGAGCAGGAAAGTCTATAAGACTCTTTAACCACAAACAAACAAACAAAAAAAGCCAGAAGTGGAGCTGAGGCTCGAGTGGTAGAACACTGAGCACAAAAGCTCAGAAACAGGACTTAGGACCTGAGTTCAAGCCTCAAGACCAGCAAAAAGGAAAAAAAAGGAAAAATACTTTTCATAATTCCAGTTACTTTCAGATTAAGATTTCTGAAATGCTGCTATTTTACCTGATAATGTATATTCAGTGCCTTTAATATGATCAACTAACTCCCAACATTGTTCATCCTTTACACGTGGAAGTCCATCAAAATTAGTTTTCCGATACTCTAGTATGAAATGATCAATTTTATTATCTTCTTCTGGCATTCTCCAAACAACTGTTACAGCATTGTCAGCCACCAAACAATCTACTGGATCTATCTCTGGAGATTTGGGGACTGAAAGAGAAGAAAAAAGTGGAGTCTCACTCTTCATGTATTAGAACACATGCAATCAAGCATATTATTGTTATCCAACTTTTACTTTTCATACTGCTTTTGAAGTACTCAAAGTGAATCAAGTTATAAGAAAGGATCTCCTATACATGCAAAATATTTTCAAGGCATCTTTTATAGCTGAACTATTAAAAATTCATATTTCAAAGTATTTCATAAACAAAGCTTATTAAATGTTTAAATGACAAAAAGCAAATATATACATTTTAAATATGTAAACATCAAGAATGATTTGTTACTTCTGAACAGAAGATATATATGTGTCTATGTATGTATGTATGTGTTACTTCTGAATGGAATATATATGTATGAATGTATGTGTTTTTTTGGCAGTACTGGAGTTTGAACTCAGGAATTCACACTTACTAGCCAGACACTTTACCATTTAAGTCATGCCTCTAGCCCTTACATCATATTTTTGCTCTATTATTTCAAAGGTATAGTATATAAATTGAATTAGTATTGACAATATGTTGTTTTTAACATATGACTAAAATAATTGAAGGTTATATTTTCAGAGTATTTAAAAAGTCCTGTTTATATAGGCTGATTATCAGATACATATAAAGAGAAATAGGCTGGTTATCAGATACAAAAATGCAGTTAGAAAGAAACACTGAATCGTGGTGTTCACTGGTATTCTCTGTAGCACAAGAAAATGATACATTTAACAGTAACTCATGACATATGTCAAAATAGAAGACTTTGAATGTTCTCAACATAAATGACAGTAAGTATTTAAGGTGACAAATATGCCGATTATCCTTATTTGGTCATTATACATTGTATGATGCATTAAAATATCACTGTAACTCATAATTATTGTGGCCACTAATTTTTTTAATGGAAACTTTTAATATAAGAATTGTAATTTCTCGGGCTGGGAAGGTGACTCAGTGGTAGAGCGCTTGCCTTGCATGCCTGAGGCCCTGGGTTCGATTCCTCAGCACCACATAAGCAAAAAGAAAAAAGCTGAAAGTGGTGCTGTGGCTCAAGTGGTAGAGCGCTAACCTTGAGCTGAAGAGCTGAGGGACAGTGCCCAGGCCCAAAGTTCAGGCCCCACGACTGGACCCAAAAAAAAAAAAGAATTGTAATTTCTCAATACAAAACAAAAACAAGAATTTCCCATTCCCTAAGGTATTTAGGGATTTATTTATTATTTTTTAGATCTGGTCGTAGGGCCTGAACTCTGGGCCTGGGCCCTGTCCCTCAGCTCTTCAGCTCAAGGCTAGCGCTCTACCACTTGAGCCATAGTGCCATTTCCGGCTTTTTTTTTTCTTTTTGCTTATGTGGTGCTGAGGAATCGAACCCAGGGCTTCAGGCATGCAAGGCAAGCACTCTACCACTGAGCCACCTTCCCAGCCTGGTATGTAGAGATTTTAAGTGTTTTTCCTAAGAGTTCTGATTCACTACAATAATCTAGAACAAATGAGTGACATTTAACATGTATAAATTAATATTTTTACTTCACTTGACAATGAGTTTCTTCAGAGCTGAGTATGGCAGTGCATACCAGTAATCCCAGCACCTGGAAAGGTGAGGCAGGAGAATAATGAGATCCTATCTCAAGGGGGAAAGGTAAAGGTGAATACGTGGAATTATACATTTCTCAAAGGCCAGAAAATAGTGTAACACAAAGTAAACCCTAATAGAAACTGTGGACATTAGTTAATAACAGTATACTACTGGTTTATCCATTTTAATAAATATACTACACTCATGTAAGATTAGTTAATAATATGTTAAATTGTATGTGGAGGAGGTTTCTAGACAGTAACTGTACTGTTCAATTAATTTTCTATAAACCTAAAACTTTTCTATAAACCTAAAAAGAATATACTAATTTAAAAAATTAGAGTAGTAACAATAAAAGAAGTATATGTAAAAGTTAAAATGTATAGCAACTGAGAGACAACAAATTTGAATCTTCAAGTCTTCATGGTAAGAAAGTGAGGGAGGATGACTGAGACCTATTAACTATGGAGCCCAACAAAGTTCAAATCTTCTGTGTATATTACTGCATGAAAAGAATTTGGAATTTGTCTTCCTAATAAAACAAATGGCAACCAAAGAAGCATTAATCATTTATCATTACTATTTTTTTCTTGCTTGCTATTGTTTCTAACATATTTACAAGGTGATTTTTTTTTTTTTGCTTTGTATGTCTCTCCCACACGTATAACCCTTGTTTTCACTGTATTTGATGTTGGTATAATTTGGGAGGGAAGGGAAAAAACAAATTGTTTAAATAGGGATAGAGGTGGGCCCTTTGCAACAATGAGATGTAAAAGACGTTATGTTGAAAAATGAACTTTACAATTTTGGTGGGGTGGGGTGTAGATGGGAGGGCAGGGATGGTAGGGGAAAAACAGAGGAGGAGGCAACAATGCTTGATAAGAAATGTAGTCATTACCTTGCTCATGTAATTGTAACCCCTCTGTATGGTATTTTCACAATAAAAAAACTTATTTAAAAAAAGAAACTGGGGGGAGGGGGGAGGCTGGGAAGGGATGTGAAGGGTAAACAAAGGAGGAGGCTGCAATGCTTGGTAAGAAATGTACGCATTATCCTGCCCATGTAATTGTAACCCCTCTGTACAGTATGTTCACAAATAAAATTAAATTAAATTTAAAAAAAAGAAACTGAACTGTAAAGTAGAAACTCAAGTAAAAATGAAAAAAATTAAAAAGTAGTAATATTTGGTATGAAAGAGAAAACTTAGGTAATTTAAGGGTGTTTATCAAATTAAACTCCATCCCTTCATTTTTACCACTTTCACAGTTTGTGCATTATCGATCATAAGTTTCTGGTAGACAGAATATAGTTGCATATTGTGTGTGGGGTGGGTTCTGGTGCTTAAACTCAGGGTTTGATGCTGTCCCTTAATTTTTTGACTCAAGGCTGGCATTCTACCACTTGGCCCACACTTACACTTCCAGTTTTTGATGATTAATTTGAGATAAGAGTCTCATGACTTTTCTCCCTGGACTGTCTTTAAACTATTATGCTCAGATCTCAGATTCCTAAGTAGCTAGGATTACAGGCATACACCAACAACATCTAGCTAGTTGGACCTTTTAGTACATTTTACCACTCTATTTTTGATTGAGGAGCAAAGGTTCTTTTACATTTAAATATTTACAGGAAATGATTTTTTATTGTCATTTTGTTGTTCTGTGTTTGTTTTATAGTTATTTTGTTCCTTATTCTCTCTTACTGTCTCCCTTTGTTTTTATTGATAGGCTTTGTTTCCCTTTTTTGTTCTATGTACTAGCTATAGATATTTACCTGAAGCTAAGATAAACTATCTTGTGATACTATGTTATATATGTAGATCTTTGTTTTTTATTTATAGTAGACCATATGACCCTCCTATTTTGAAGAGATCACTGAGATTAACATTAGTACTATATTCATAGTAGTAACATTAGATTACTCAATAAAATAATCTAACCAGAGAGTTTGCTGGATATCCCTACCCAGTCCATTGACAATCTTATACAATGAAGTCTCTATAAAAATCCCAGAGTACTATATTTAAAGAGCTTCTGAATAACTGGACACATTAATGCTGACAGAAAGACAAACAAAGACTCATCCATGCTCGGAGGGTATTGTACCCCAACTTCACAAGGACAGAAGCTCCCTTATTTGTCAAACTTCCAGACCTCACCTAAGTATTTCTTCATGGTGGCTACTTGTTTTTATCTTCTACAATATCCTTTGTACATGAATAACACCTTAATTAAAATAATAAAATTGTATTAAAAATGAAAATAAAAATATCCTTTGTAACGGTAGAGTATTTCACTGAGTTCTGTGAGCTATTATAGCATTAATAAAACCTAAAGAGGAGTTGCAGGAATTCAAATCTCAGCCTAAAAGTTAGAAATTCTGGGGGCCCAAGGATATGACTGGGTCTTAAGTTGGGAAATTCTTTCCAAAACTGTAATATCTGATGCTATCTCCACTTATCAGAATGGAAATAAGTTAGAGAACATCTTACTAGAATCTACCACAGAATTGACTGCTTGCTTATGGTACATGAAATCTTCACATCTTAAGAAAGTCACAGGCATTATCTGTGTTGAAGTGAGGGAAAACAGGCTGTTTGCTTTTACTTTTACAGATCTACATGTACCAGTTAAAGGACACAATTGAGAAGAAAAACCAACCAAATGTGTACAAGAAACCTGCTTTAATTATGAGGACATTGATTAAATAGAAAAAGGTACAACACTAACAGCAATCAGAAGAGAGTGAATTGAGCTATCTTAATTTTGAGAAAGGAAGGTATACTTTTTTTTTGCCAAGGGACATTTAGATATTTATAACATCATATAAAATTATCAAAACAGGCAGATGGACCATAGGCATTAAATGTCTGTCCCATCTACCAAATGACTTCACAGACCTTATGCAGCCCACAGGCCTGATTAGAGCAAGGAAACTTATCAAGGGTAAAGAGAGTCATAATATTGACAAAGGAGTCAACTCTTTATTTTTATTTTTTTGTTGGTCATGGGGCTTGAACTCTGGGCCTGGGCGCTGTCCCTCAGCTCTTCAGCTCAAGGCGAGCGCTCTACCACGTAAGCTACAGCACCACTTCCGGTTTTTTCTAGTGGTTTATTGGAGATAGGAGTCTCACGGTCTTTCTTGCTCGGGCTGGCTTTGAACCGCGATTCTCAGATCTCAGCCTCCCGAGTAGCTAGGATTACAGGCGTGAGCCACCGGCGCCCGGCGAGTCAACTCTTTAAGAAAGACAAAAAAGTCTTTAATCCTTGAATGAATCTAACAATAAAGTGTCAAAATACATTGAGTAAAAATGGGTGAATCCAGCATTAGTGAGGGATGTCTAGTCAGAGAACATTCCTCTGCTAGTGGAAATAGACCCAGAAGGCAGAACACCAGAGAGGTGTAAGTGAACGTAACAGCACTGTCAA